CCGCCGAGTCGAACTATGACGTGGGAAACCGGGAACTGTTGGCAGTAGTCTTGACACTACAGGAATGGAGACACTAGCTCGAGGGGACTTAGGAGCCATTCACCTCGCCCCCCCCATGACGAATCGCGGAGTGTATCCCACTTCTTTTCCGAACCTTTTCGAACCATCCTCTGCTTCTTTAAAATCAAACTCTTCAGGAGCAATGCTACGTTCGTATTTATCAAATCTCCATTCAATTGTCTTGCTTTGCCAGAAATCGTATCTTGGCTAAGACTACTACCTGAAGAATACCCTGCTAGCTGTTTCTCATTTATGAAAATAAACAAAAGTTTCTCCAGTTCCTCTAATATTTGTTTGCAAAACACATCACTGACTTAAGATGGTCTTTTTTTTTTAGGATGCTGCTGATCGTCGATTTCGGCATGCCGAACTCCTTAGCCAACACACGTACACCTGATTCATATTTCGCATTCGCATTCATTTTAAAATAAAATAGTTTTGCGCGCTATTTTCCTCTTTTTTTCACCAGCTTTACGACTTCCACTTGTTTTTTTGGTGACATGATTAGGGGCTCATACACAATGCAGAAATAACAGTCCAATTTGCGTAGATCTATACAAATACTATGCTTTTCAAAAAAATCTTTATTGAACATGTCCGCTCACATTGGAACGCTACACGAGGAAGCATCATTTCCTTGTCTACCCGAGGAAGCATCACTTCCTCGTGTAAGGAAGGCAAGAGGAGTTGAGTGACGCATTCAAGTGTGTTCAGTTTGGTCAAGAACCGATTTTCGGTCGTAATCCGAGGCATAAAAAAACGCAAAATTTTTGGTCATAAACCATGTTGATCCTTCTTGCGCGGAAGTCTCTCGCTGGTTTTGTGTAGACATCAATTCGGGTGACTACACTTGGTTCAAGGCACAAGACTGAGACATTTTCTATTTTTCAGTATGGTCGCTACCACTGCCTTGCTGAACGCTCGATGTGCCTTAGCGCACCATCACTGTCAGAAGCGAACTGCAGGGAAGCTCCACCCACTTTTATTTACATGAACCCAGAACATGGTATCCTTCCACATAACATAGTTCCAAACATGAAACAACAGTGCCAGTGGCATACATCGCACTCAACAAACCGATTTGGTCGAGAATAAAGACGTTCGAAAACCGAGGTTTGACTATATTTACTTCCAAGATGTTGATAGAGAAGTACAGAGAGGGTCAGATGGAACTGAAATGTGTCTTTGTAGATCTGGAGAAAGCATATGACAGGGTGCCCAGAGAAGAACTGTGGTATGTATGAGGAAGTTTGGGGTGACAGAGAAGTACTGTATGTTAGAGCGGTACAGGACATGTATGATCACTGTCAGACAGTGGTGTGGTGTGCTGTAGGTGTGACGGAGGAATTCAAGGTGGAGGTGGGACTTCACCAGGGGTCAGCTCTGAGCCCCTTCTTATTCGCTATGGTTATGGACAGGCTGACAGATGAGGTGATACAGGACTCTCCATGGACTATGAAGTTTGCAGATGACTGTCATTTGTAGTGAAAGCAGGAAACAGGTGGAAGTTTGCCCTGGAAAGGAGAGGAATGAAGGTCAGTCGCAGCAAGACAGAGTACATGTGTGTGAATGAGAGGGACCCAAGTACAAGAGTGAGGTTACAGGGAGAAGATATAAAAATGTGGGAGGATTTTAAGTACTTGATGTCAACTGTCCAAAGCAATTGAGAGTGTGGAAAAGAGGTGAAGAAGTATGCACAGGCAAGCTGGAATGGCTGGAGAAAAGTGGCAGGTGTGATGTGCGATTGAAGAGTTTCAGCTAAGATGAAATGAAAGGTGTATAAAACTGTGGTGAGACCAACCATGCTGTTTGGACTGGAGACGGTGCCACTGAAGAAACGACAGGAGGCAGAGCTGGAGGTAGCAGAGATGCAGATGTTGAGGGTCTCTTTGGGAGTGACCAGTTTGGATAGGCTCAGAAATGAGTACATCAGAGGGACAACACATCTTAGAGGTTTTGGAGAGAAAGTCAGAGAGGCCAGACTGAGATGGTTTGGGCATGTCCACAGGAGAGAGTGAATGTATTGGGAGAAGGATGCTGGGTTTTGAACTGCCAGGCATGAGGCCGAGGGGAAGGCCAAAGAGGAGGTTTATGTATGAAGTGAAAGAGGACATGAAGGTAGCTGGTGTGACAGAAGAGGATGCACAAAACAGGGTTAGATGGAGGCAACTGATTCGCTGTGGCAACCCCTGAATGGAAAAGCCGAATGGAAAAGAAGAAGCTTGAGAGGGAGGAGGTTGGGAGGGAACGTCAGATTTGCTGGAAAGGTAGAGCTGGGTGTCATCCGCGAAGAAGTGAAAGCGTATACCAAAATTACAGAAAATATTGCCAAGGGGGAGAAGGTAGATAATGAAGAGGAGGGGTCCAGGACAGAGCCCTGGGGGACACCAAAAGACGGGGAGGACTTTGAAGTGGAGGAATTGAGGTGGATGAACTGAGAGCAGCCAGTGAGATACTGTGAAACCAGTGTAGGGGTGTGTGGGTGATGCCTATGGTGCAGAGTCAATTAAGGAGATGGGGTAAGAAATGGTGTCAAAAGCTGCACTCAGAGGAGGATAAGGATGGAGATTAAACTGGAGTCTGCAGCCATGAGAAGGTCAATAGTGATTTTTATGAGGGCTGTTTCTGTACTGTGATGGGGACGGAAACCAGACTGGAATTGTTCGTAGAAACTGTTTTATCAGTGAGGTGGGAGGGAAGTTTAGAGGCAACACTTTTTTTGAAAGGAGGGTGAGAAACCAGTAAGTTATTGAAATCATTGGGATCTGAACATGTTTTTTTCAGGATTGGATTGACAGCTGCAGTTTTGAAGGGGACAGGAACAATTCCAGTGGACAATGAAGAATGAAAAATGACTGAGATGAAGGGTTAGCAGGATTTGACCAGGACTATGGGGAGGGGGTCTCACTGAAATGAAGAAGTCTTGGATTTGAGTATGAAGTCTGAGATTATTGAGGATGGGGGAGTTCGAAAGAGGATAATAGTTGACAAGGGCTTGGGAGGTTGGAGGAGGAGAAGGGAACAGAGAAGCCCAGGTGCTGGTGGATTTTATTGACTTTGTCACTGAAAAATAGGAGCAGAGCGTTGCAGGTGTCAGAGGAATAAAATTGCGTGTGTGTGTGTTGGGGGGTGGGAGACAGTGGGTTGAATGATATTGTTACAGAGAGAAAAGTGAGCCTTAGTATTTCCAATATTACAGCAGGTGAGTCCAGAGTAGTACTGTGATTTAAGTTGGATAGTTGAGCTGTGTAGACGCCCTTGTGAACAGTGAGCCCGGTTTTCCCGTAGCGTCTCTCTAGCTGCGGAGTTTTGGATTTAATGGAACGGAGGTAAGGGGTGAACCAGGGGGCAGACCGAGTAAAAAAGACAGAGCGGGACTTGACAGGAGCGAGCGTATTGAGAATGTTGGTGAGACTAGAGTTTTATTGGGAAACCAAAAATGGGGATCTGGAGGGCCAAGAGAAGCATTTAAAAATGGTACACATGCGCTACGATAGTTAACACGCTGCAAAAGTGCGTCCCATGCCTTCTCGTCAGGTCTTGACAAAGGTTGGAACAAATTTCCTTTTCACACAGCCACAAACTCTTGTGTCTACTTTATTTTTCTTTTTCGTTCATCTAAGGGGCCGTGAGAACCTTTGCTCATCATGGCATGCGTGTGTAAGTGCACGCGTGTGTGCGGTAACGGGTCGATCACGGGAGTTGGTTGATCGAAGAGTCGATCGTCATTCAAAAACGGTTGGGCACCCACGTTGGACAACAATTACTGCTACTAGTCACTTAAAAATGGTGCAATAGTTATGTGAACCAACTGCAAAACCATCATAGTATAGAATCGCACCACTGATAACTTTATCTTTGCTCAATGACTGGAAATTGTCCCACAGCTGTCATTGGCTGGTACAACTGCACAATGATACCCTTACATTAAATAAAGTTTTTCTAGACTTCTATGTCATATCTTTGCTTGTTGTAGTTGCTTGTTGTTGCAATACAAGGAAAGCTCATCCACAAATTCCTTATTTTACATATTTGGCCAATAAAGATGATTCTTATTCAGATTTAAAATGCTCTATGAATAAAGTTGAGTTGATAATTATTTATATGGGAGGAGGCAGTTGCAATTTGATGCCATAACCAACAAGCATGATCATGTCTGTGAAAATGAAGGACAGAATGTCTGCTTTGAGGTCACATTCAAGCAACTCAGTCATGCAGAAGAAAAATCATCTTTATTATTTGAATCCAAGACAGGTGGCAAAGATGTGGGGGTATCTTGCGATTATGCAGGAACGACCACACGATGATCATTACGATTAGGGCTCAATGCTTAGGGACACAATTTATATTGGAATAAAACCAACTCCATTTCTATGGTCTAGGCTTGACATGTCCAGGTAGTCCAGGTGGTGAACTGGATTTTGGTGGTCAAGGTGGCTGTGTCTCTAACCACAAATGGGTTGTCTGAATGAGCAAGGTGGTGGTTGACGTGGGTCGTTTTCATCCGGAGTAACTGGGGTTGGCTCGGGAGGTCTTGTTGGGGACCAAGATGGTAGTCCAAGTTTGAAAGGTCGTGTTCTAGAATATTTTTTGCATCAGGAGGAAGAGATGGTCCAGGCAGTGGTCCAGGTTGCAGGGTGCTGGTCCAGGTTGGAAGAGTCGTGGGGCAGGTTGAAAATTTAGTGTTCAGGTGGGTATTTTTTATACAGGACAACAGGTGCTGCACTGTTGGCTGCTCTTTGCTGGGTGGCTAATTATGATATGAAATAAAATGTGGTCCTAGTGATGGTATACCCTGGCAAGGCTGGCAAGGTGGGCCATTTTCATCCATGGTAACAGGGGGCCCCCATGTGATCCGGGTTGTGAAGACGATGGATGATATAATGTTGGATCATGTGGTGGTGGCAGTAGCCCAGGTATTGTACATGGTGGTAGCCCAGGTGTCTACGATGGTTGTGGCTAATATGGTGGTGGCCCAGGTGGCCAAGGTGCTGGTGGCCAAGGTGGTCGTTGCCCAAAAGGCCAATATGGGTAGTGTAGTGGTGGCCCGGGAGGACCTGGTGGTCCGGGTGGTCCTGGTGCACTAGGTGGACCTGGTGGTCCAGGTGGTCCAGATGGTCCTGCTGGTCCAGGCGGTCCAGATGGGCCTGGTGGACCATCTGGTCCAGGTGGTCCTGGTGCCCCATCTGCTCCAGGTGGGCCTGGCGGCCCATCTAGTCCAGGTGGGCCAGGTGGCCCATTTGGCCCCGGTGGACCATCTATTCCAGGTGGTCCTGGTGGGCCATCTATCCCTGGTGGACCACCTGGTCCAGGTGGTCCTGGTGGACCATCTGGCCCTGGTGGACCATGTGGTCCAGTTAGTCCTGCTGGACCAGGGGGACCTGGTAGACCAGGTGGTCCCCCAGGTGGTCCTGGAGGTGATCCAGGTGGTCCCCCAGGTGGTCCTGGAGGTGATCCAGGTGGACTTCCTGGAGGTGTTCCAGGTGGACTATTGTCATCTAGGGTAAAAGCTGCATTGGATGGCAACTGTCTCTTCATCTTAGCAGAAAGACAGCTGGTTCCTGTGATAAAGAGTTGACATCTTTGTTAGATGGAGACCTTTCACTGGCTCTTTATTACTTGCTCGTTGAGAGTTGGATGACTTACCGAACAGCACAAGGGCAACAGTGAACACCTTGAGAATGCTCATTGTGGCTGATGATTTCCTAAAAGACAGTGAAAAAGGACGGTAAATGTATATCGAGAGAAAGTCCATCAGGTGAACGTGGTGGGAGCGTTGGCTGCTTGGACACTGTCAGTTTGTTGAGGCCCATGCCTTGCCACGAGGGACCTGGACCGCCCGTGGGAAGAAGGCTGATTCGTCTCCACCAATCTTCATGTTGTGGCCATTGGACGGAATTCTCATATTTATCGAAACCACTACTTTTCAGGAAATCTTTTCTTTTTTTTTTTTTGAGTCGCTAATTGCTCATTTATTATTCTGTCATTGACGAACATGGTGCCAGCACCAATCATGCACTTCAAAGTCCACGGTCACACAGAGACTCACCGTGCAAAAGCCTTCAACTTCACAAACCATTTGTGAACAAAGGTTTGCATTGTAGAACTCAGTGGACGCTCAGCATTTTCACGGTTCCTCACTTATTTGGAGATTAGTTTTTTCAACCATCCATCCATCCATCCATCCAATTTCCAATCCGCTTATCCTCACAAGGGTCGTGAGGTGGGTGCTGGAGCCGATCCCAGCTCTCTTCGGGCAGTCGACGTGGGACACCCTGAACCGGTTGCCAGTCAATCACAGGGCACACAGAGATGAACACCCATCCGATTTCACAATCACACTGAGGGACAATTTAGAGTGTTCCATTAACCTGCCACGCATGTTTTTGGAATGTGAGAGGAAATGGAAGTGCACGGGGAGAACATGCAAACTCCACACAGGGAGGCCGGCGCCAGAATCGAACCCTGCACCTCTGCAATTAGTTTTTTACAGATTTAAAATACTTTTTTTGTGGGACCAGCCCCCATTTGTTGTGGAAAATGCTTACTGGTAGTATATCACCAATTTTTCATGAATCTTTTGGGTTAACCATTGGACATAAAATCTTGATTCTACCTTTCTATCTGTTTCCGTTCTTTAGTAATCAGCAGGAGAACATAGCACAATTTTTTAAAATTCACTTGCTTCTCACAAACTTTGGAGAAAAATTGCTTTTTTTGAAAACAAGCATGTCAAGAAGAACAGAGACTTTGGTGCTCATATTTTCACTTCCATGACGCTAATATCTGAACAGGGGTTCTATTCTATGAAGCAGGGAAGCAACATTTCGAAATGGCTTTTGATCGCAAAATAATTTATTGATAAACAAGCAGTGTGAGTGGCTCCCCAAAGAAACAAAAAAAAATGCTCAATGTCATAAATGGGTTTTGTTTCTTTTTTTTCAGAATCCGAAAGTGTTATTGATCATTATTTTAAGCTCTGCCTCATGATAGTGGGTAACGCATTAATGCATCAAAATATAATTAGGCAGTTATGTATAATAATAAATCTTCATTGAACAAAGATGGAGAAACAGTGACCAAACTCCTCCAGAAAGCGTGTGTCTGTGTGTGTGTGTGTGTGTGTGTGTGTGTGTGTGTGTGTGTGTGTGTGTGTGCGTGTGTTGTAACATTACTTTGATTTGTGACTTTTTTAATTTAATGGAAAAATTACTGTCAAAAAGAAAAGCGGTATGTAAGTTTCGTTTTGTTTGTTTATAAAGCACCATCCATTGTCTCCACAGCGTGAGTACTTTGGCCCCCTCTTGTTCCAGTCATGTATCCGGAAGTATGGAGAGAGTTTTTCCCCCAAGGTGTGCACTCTACTGTGCTTACTTCTGTCTTGCCAATGATTAATTGCAATGTTGTTTTTTTTTGTGCAATTGTCAGGATAATGAGGCTGACAAAGTGGAGCATGTCACCACAGCAAGCTTTGTCACTGGGAGAGATGATTTTTTTGCACAGACTCAAAGACATTAAGATGGAACACTTGGGTCCAGAAGTTTCAATGTTAGCCATTTGGGCTGCAAAAAAAAAAATCATTGAAGATTTTTAGAAGTTATTTATTTGGAGTATGCCCTAATGTGAATGCTTGCAAGTCCAAGTTGCTTCGTTTCCAGTGCCTATGATTGAGCTCAATATTTTTCCTAAAATACAATTTTAAAAATGTTTTTCTTCCACTGTCCTTTTAGTTTCATGTAATTTTATTTCTGTACCTTGTTTTATATGTCCTCAGTTCTAATTAATGTCAAACACATTCATTAAAAATATTCAACCAGATATGGGCAACTGGTGGCCTGCGGGTGCAGGCGGCAGACTCTTTGAGTGGCCTCTTGACGAACTAAAAAAAAAAAAATACGACCTCAATAATATAACATGTATAAGTGAGGTGGTATTTGTGAAAAAATGCACAGCATGTATTCATACAGCTAATATTGGTTTGCTCTTCATCCGTTTCGTGCCATCCTCGAATGGTCATTTTTACGCATGAGAGCCCTTTGCGCTGGAATATTAAAAAATAAATTTGCACGGATGCACATGTTTTGTACGTATTTAAAATGCCATTTTTGTCATAAGTTTGATTTGGAAGTGTGTGGTCCTATGTAACCTGAGTCAAAATGAATATTTTTCCCTGAAGCGTACAAAGCGCAACACCAAACATGTCCAACATTAATGTTGTGTTCCCTGAAAACACTTCAGGATGGCGATAGTACTCACCACACACACTCAAGTTTGCTCTTAGAACCCCTCTCAGGCCTTGTGTGGTTGACAGTCCTGCTTCCGTCTCTCTTCTGTCACCTCACAGTTGTTATCGGAGAGCTTAAATCACTTGTCTAGCCACCATTAAGGTGGAGCCCTTGTGCATTCGGGTGGGTCATTTAATTGACTTTCTTTTGTTGTCACACAATGACATGTGGTTTCTGTGGTGGATATTGCCAAGCAGTATTTCTTCGTCATGTTGCAAGCAAAGTTGTAATTGATCAGTTAATTGCGTCACTTTGAAATGAATAGAGCACATAAAAGGTCACTGCCACTGGAATGCTATCTGCAGGTACATGGAACTGCTACTCTCTGCTCCAATTTTTTATTGAAAAAGTTAATAAAATCCACCAACACCTGGGCTCCTCTGTACCCCTCCCCTCCCCTGACATCCTCACTTCCTGTCAACTGCTTTCCTCTTTTGAACTCCCCCATCCTTCAATAATATCAGATATCATTTCCAAATCCAAAACTTCCTCCTGCCTACTTGATCCCCTCCCAACAGTCCTGGTCAAATCCTGCTTACCCTCTCTGCTTCCTTTCATCTCAGCCATCATCCATTCCTCACTGTCCACTGGAATTGTCCCTGTCCCCTTCAAAACTGCAGCTGTCACTCCTCTTTTGAAAAAACCTGGTTCAGATCCCAATGACTTCAATAACCTACGACCAATTTCTCACCTTCCTTTCATCTCCAAAGTTCTTGAAAAAATTGTTGCCTCTCAACTTCACTCCCACCTTACCCATAACAATCTCTACGAACAATTCCAGTCTGGTTTCCGTCCCCGTCACAGCACTGAATCAGCCCTCTTAAAAATCACAAATGACCTCCTTATGGCAGCAGACGCCGGTCTATTCTCAATACTCATTCTCCTTGATCTGAGTGCAGCTTTTGATACTATTTCCCACCCCATCCTCTTAAATAGACTCTTCAGAAATTAAATCTTGGTTCACACATAACTTCCTCAAACTTAACAGTGACAAAACAGAACTCCTCCTCATCTGTACCAAATCCACCCTACACAAAACCAACAGTTTTTCTCTCACTATTGATAACTCCACTGTATCCCCCTCCCTTCAGGTCAAGAGCCTGGGTGTCATCCTCGATAGCTCACTATCGTTCCACTCTCATATCAATAACACAACCCGGTCCGCGTATTTCCACCTACGCAATATCAACCGTCTCCGTCCCTCTCTCACCCCTCACTCCACTGCCATCCTTGTCCACAGTCTCGTCACCTCCCGTATTGACTATTGCAATTCACTTCTCCTCGGTGTCCACAACAAATTCCTCCATAAACTTCAATTGGTCCAGAATTCTTCGGCCCATATCATCACTGGAACCCCCTCCTTCCATCACATCACCCCCATCCTCCAACAGCTGCACTGGCTCCCTGTCAAACTGAGGATCAACTTCAAAATACTCCTCTTCACATTCAAAGCCATCCATAACCTTGCCCCCCCATCTGTCGGACCTTCTTCAAATTTGCGTTCCCTCTCGTTCCCTTAGGTCCTCAGCCTCCCCCCACCTCTGTGTACCCTCTGCCCGTCTCAGCACGATGGGGTGCAGAGCTTTCAGCCGCTCTACCCCCAAACTCTGGAACTCACTCCCACCCGACATCCGAAATATTGACTCTCTTCCTATATTCAAAACTCATCTTAAAACCCACCTATTTAAAATTGCATATACAGTTTAAACTCATCGCTTTTATTATTTATAATTTTATCTGTGGTTTTATTGTTCTTTTGATTGTAAAGTGTCCTTGGGTATTTTGAAAGGCGCTTATAAATAAAATGTATTATTATTATTATTATTATTATGGAGTTCTATTATATCTTCAAACAGCTGATACATATTTTGTTTTTGTTTTTTTATTTATTTTTTAATCCACTGAGCAACAAGGAACTGGGTGTTGTATGTGATAAATGCTCTTGTGGCTTTTTAGAGAGGACAAACTGGTTTGTCTCCTAAGTCAGTAAGTATTAATCACAATACCATGACACATTCGTTGAAATAATCATGTGACATGGCCATAATTTCAGAAAATTAAGTTATGAGTTATTTACAATGTGCGGCTGGAAATAAAACACAGCTTTTCACTTGTTACATATTTCATTTTGTTGCACCCATACTGAAATGAAAATGAGAATTAGAATTAGAATCATCGTTTTTTGCCACATTTCATACACCAGGAATTTATAACCAGTAGGTGGAGCAACTTTCACACGATAGCAAACAAAATGTACATTTTGGACACATTAAGTATGGAGAGCTAATGAGAAATGTAAGGTGTCCTGTAGTCTGATAGAACTGATAAAATGACAATTGTGCAAATGATCCCGAGTCCTAAAGCAATTAAAAGTGGCCAGCAGTGCAGTAGTTGACACCAACAACAGTTATGCAAATAACGCAGCATGATGAATTTACAATGAAAACGGCAACAATGTCAAAACATGTCCTAAAACACAATTGTATCCAATGGCTTTGAGCTCAACAGGAGACTCGGCAGTCTGAGTGCAGGGGTGGACAAATTAGGTCCTCATGGGCCGCTGCCCTACCCATTTTTATTCTCCCCTTCTGTAACACACGTGATTCAAATGATCAAGATCGTTTTCAAATTTTTCCAGAGCTTGCTGAAGAGCTGATCATTTCAATCAGATGTGTTGCAGCAGGGAGCAATGGAAAACAGGCAAGACGGTGGCCTTTGAGCAGCGGTCACCAATCTTTTTTGCCCCACGGACCATTTTAATGTCAGTCAATGATTTCACGGACCGGCCTTAAAGGCGTGGCGGATAAATCCAACAAAATAATATGATATGACCTGCATGAAAAGTATGTGTTTTTTTTCTAAACATAATAATTAGCACGAATCATGACACGAGGAACGGCCTATCTGTCCGGAACACCCTCTGGTCGCTATAGTAATGTTTAAATGTGCCTTCAAAATAAGATACACCGCAAATACAACCGCTGCCCTTGAGGACTGGAGTTGGACATGCACGTCTTAGTGTTTTATGGTGTCTGCCGTATTTGTATAAATTGATTGTTTTCACTCTCTTTGTTATTGTCTGACTGTTTTTTATTGCATGGACAGCACTTTGTAGGCAACAATGGTTGTTTTACAATCTTCCACAGCACTAGATACTTTAAAGCACTCAAAGACATTCTACATAATTGTAAACCTCAAGTTGCACTACAATTACTGCTACTAGTCACTTAAAAATGGTGCACCTACTGCAGAACCTTCATCGTATTGTATCGCACCACTGATCACTTTATCTCTGCTTGATGACTCTGCAAATTGTGGCACAGCTATCATTGGCTGGGACAACTGCACAACGGTACCCTTAGATGAAAGAAAGTCTTTCTAGACTTGTATGTCATATATTTCCTTGTTGTAGTTGCTTGTTATTGCAATACGAGGATAGCTCACATACAAATTCCTTATTTTACATGTTTGGCCAATAAAGATGATTCTGATTCAGATTTAAAATGCTCTACAAATAAAGTTGAGTTGAGTTCGGTCGGTGGAAGATGTACATATGGATGATAATTCTTTATATGGGAGGAGGCGGTTGCAATCTGATGCCATAACCACCAAGCATGAACATGTCTGTGAAAATGAAGGACAAAGTTTCTGAGTTGAGGTCACATTCAAGCAACTAAGTCATGCAGAAGAAAAATCATCTTTATTATTTGAATCCAACACAGGTGGCGTGGAGGGGGTGGTGGGGTGGGGGTATCTTGCAATTATGCATGAACGACCACGCGACGATCATTATGATTAGGGCTCAATGCTTAAAAACAAGATTACTTTTGGAATAAAAACAACTCCCTTTCTATGGTCGAGGCTTGACATGTCCAGGCAGCCTTTTCATCCATGGTAACAGGTGGCCCCCTGGTGATCCAGGTTTTTAAGCTGATGGATCATAAAATGTTGGATCAGCTGGTGGTGGCAATGGCCCAGGCATTGAACATAATGGTGGCCGAGGTGGCTAAGATGGTGGTGGCTAGTATGGTGGTGGTCCAGGTGGCCAAGGTGCTGGTAGCCTAGGTGGCCAAGGTGCTGGTGGCCAAGGTGGTCGTTGCCCAAAAGGCCAATATGGGTAGTGTAGTGGTGGCCCGGGAGGGCCTGCTGGTCCGGGCAGTCCTGGTGCACTAGGTGGACCTGGTGGCCCATGAGGTCCAGGTGGTCCTGGTGGCCCATCTTGTCCAGGTGGTCCTGGTGGCCCATTTGGCCCTGGAGGACCGCCTGGTCCAGGTGGTCCTGGTGGACCATCTAGCCCTGGTGGACCATCTGGTCCAGGTGGTCCTGGTGGGCCATCTTGCCCTGGTGGACCATCTGGTCCAGTTGGTCCTGGTGGACCAAGAGGACCTGGGGGACCTGGTGGCCCTCGCTTCAAGAATGGAAACCCAGGTGGTCCCCCAGGTGGTCCTGAAGGTGGACCAGGTGGTTACCTAGCTGGTAATGGAAGTGACTGAACATCGCCATCTGGTGGAACATCTATATCGGATGGCAGTTGTCTCTTTATCTTCGCAGAAAGACAGCTGGTTCCTGTGAAAAAAAATTGTTACATGGTGACTTTTCATTTCCTCTGTTACTTGGGAGATGAGAGTTTGATGACGTACCAAACAGCACAAGGGCAACAGTGAACACCTTGAGAATGCTCATTGTGGCTGATGATGTCCTAAAAGACAGTGAAAAGGGACGGTAAACGTACATCGAGAGAAATTCCATCAGGTGAACATGGTGGGAGAGCTGGCTGCTTGGACACTGTTTGGTGAAGCCCAGGCTCTATACCTTGCCCCGAGGTACCTGGACTGTCCTTGAGAAGAAGGCAGATAACTCCCTGCCAATCTTAATGTTGCCGGCGTTGGACGGAATTCTTTTATTCAGTGAAAATTGCTGTCATTGACTGCAATGCACTTCAAAGTCCACAGTCACACAGAGTCTGCCCAGCTGGCACACTGTTTGAGCAGCCCCTTGATTAAGTTTCAAAAATAAAAATTAAAAAAAAAAACCCTCAATAATATTACAACTTAGAGTAAGTTGATAATTGTGAAAAAAATGCACAAAATGTATTCCTAAACCTAATGTTGGTTTCCTGCTCAGCCATTGTGTGCCATCCTTGAATGGTAATTTTTATGCACGAGATCCCTTTGCACTGGAATTTAAAAAAAAAAAAAAACACAAAACAAAACATCACAGTGTCTGGTTAATTTTTGCTTGTTCAAGCCCTTTATTGTTGAAGGATGGATCTTTTATAACTGCGCTGAGAAGTGTATTATGAAAAATGAAATATGTTGAGAGCACGTATTTTGCACGTATGCACGTGTTTTGTCCAGATTTAAAGTGCCGTTTTTATCATACTTCTGGTTTGGAAGTGTGTGGTCCAATGTGACTTGAGTCAGAATGCATATTTTTCTCTTGATTGTTCACGGCGTCACCCCAAATATGTCCAACATTAATGTTGTGTTCCCTGAAAACACTTCAAATCAGCGAAAGTACTCACCACGCACACTCAAGTTTAATCTTGGAGCCCCTCTCAGACCTTGCGTTGTTGTCAGTCCTGCTTCCGTCTCTCTTCTGTCGTTTCACAGGCAGTAATGGAGAGCTTAAATCACTTGTCTGGCTACCAGGGATGTGTTCCTCGAGCCGGTCCTTGGCCTCGAGGACCGGCTCGAGGGAGGACCGGCTCGAGGACCAAAGGTCGGTCCTTTGTCCTTGGCCTTGGCCTTGGAAGTCAATTCCTTGGCCTTGGCCTCGGCCTTGGGAGTCAAGTCCTTGGCCTTGGGTTGCCGGTCCTCGGACACAATGAAAGATTAGAGCCTCAAATCTCTAGTCCACATGCATAAAGTGGATCCGAGGACCGCAAAAATCACGAAGGAATCAAATAAATTCCATCCGTAGAAACCCATATTGATGGATTAAGCTGGCGCTTTAAAGGGGGCGGGTCTGCCACTGACGGGCGACATTTGGCGCAACGAATAAAGAGCGGCATCACAGTTAGTTTCAATCACGGTTTGTTCCGTTCGCGATCGGCAGTTTAAATAGCGTGTACAGTCTTTCTGTAACAGTGGTGTCTTTTATGTAGTTATTTTTGCACAGTCGTCACGTTTCTGCGGTGGCACTATAATGTTTGTTTGAACCAAGTAATTTGCGTTACAGCTGGAGTCAATAATGCCGGCACTTCACTTCCGGGTTTGGCCGTTTGGGATTTGAAGTCCTTTTGCTCGATTCCAGTTATGTTTTTGGTGAATGCTTTCTCATGTTTGGAATAATGAATATTGATAATACATAGTTTAAAATCATGGTTGATTTATTATTTTTATTATTATTGTTAAGTTGAAGGTATTAAATTAA